ACTGACTCCTCAGCATCACTGAACATAATAAGCAAAAACGTACAGCTTCCTTCTCTGGAACATCAGGATGAAGGGGGATTCCCCCTTCCCAATGGCCACTGGGCAGGCACAGATGTTTGTGAGCTCTCACAGCTGGCTCCAGCAGCAGGGGGTACCAAGCACAACTGGGATGCCTGGTACTGCCAATGTCAGGATCCGACCGGATTTAACAATGATCCTGGGCCCTGCAGGGGCTCCTGCATTCTCACAGCATCTTCCCCACTAGTGGATAACCCTCTTTGTGTTCAAGCGTGTCAGCTCTGCAGCCCCCTGCCCTCCCGTCTCGGATTCAGGTGAATCCAGCAGTAATCTGGACCTTCCCGGGGTTTCTCTTGCTCTAAATGGAGGTCCCAGCCCCACGATGGGGTCCCAGGATGGAGAGAGGCTCAAAACCACATGCATGATCTCCACTGCTGGGAGCCAAGCCTTCCCAGCCTTGGGCATGCAGTAAATTTAGGGGGAGCTGAGGGAATCCACTGCTCCATGACCACATGGATGCTGCAGTGTGATGATATTTCATGATCCAAATAATTAACAAATTAAATTTCACCCTGGGGCTGCCATCCTAAAGGCCATGCGGATCCCATGGCTCTCTGCTGCTGGCAGGCAGCATCCAGACATCCCACTGTGTCCACCAGGGACTAGCAGCCCTCCCACGAAACATAGTCCCAAGTGCTCTGAAAATGCCTTGCAGGGAGGTCTCAGTGACCATCAGCAGAGGAAGAAAACACCAGCTGGCTGAGGCATGGGTAAGTCACCTCCAAAATTGCTTCCTGCTGGTCTCAGCCTTTTGGAAAGTCCCTGCCAAAGCAGCTGCCAAGCCCTGAGGAGATGCTCCAGGCAGCCCAGGACAAACTGGGTGCTGTTTGCTGCCCAAGGGTTTGCTCCTGTGTGTCCGTCTAAGCTGAGAACTAAAAAGGGTTTGGGGTTTGTTTCTCATTCTCATGGCATAGCAGGTCTCCCCACAGCATGGAGCCGTCTGCTGCAGGGCACCAGGGTGTTTAGCATCTGATTAACATTTTTAATTGTTTTCATGTTCAGTTCCTGATGCTGTCTTTCCAGATAGAAATGGGAGGGATTTAGCCATCCCTCCCTCCCTGTTTCCCTGTTTCACTCCTTCTCCTCCTTCCTCCCTCTCTTCCTCCATTTCTTCCTTTCTTTCACCCTCCCTTCTTCCCTCCCTTGCTTCCTCCCTTCCTTCTCTTCTCCCTCCCTAAAAATTTACTAATTTCTTCTTTATTACATTCCTAAAAGCCCCATTCAGTTAAAGGTAGCAGCAGACAAGGAGAAATTCAATGATAAGGGCAAAAACAACAGTAAAACTGGAATGAAATGACAGCCATAAACCCAGTACCAGAAGGGATAGTAAAACTGCAGTTTGGCAGAAGCCAGCAGGCCTGCACTAATAACTTTTTTTTCCTGATTAAAACACTCTGGTCACAGATTAACTTCCTTTGCTCAATATTTATTATCTCACCTGTGCTAAGAAGCAGGGAAGAAAGGAAGAGAGGTGGGCAGGTCTGGGGACATGGGATCTGCAGCACGTCTGCAGCCTTTAGCATCTGCCTAGGACATGGACAGGTAATCAAAGGTGATAAACACACCTGAAACAGTTATCCTTCATCATCGAGAGCTTGCATCAAAGGGTTTCTGTGTACCAGGGCAGCAGCCCAGAGTAGTATCCCAGGTCTTACCTATGGCCACAGGAGTCAGTGTCATAGCAGGCACTGCTTTGGGTCTCCTAGGCATGCAGGACAGGGGCAGTGATGGAGACAGGCACTGCTACAACCTAGGCGAGCACACTGGTTGGTCTCAGTTAAGCCAAAGCCCCAGCAACTCTGGGAAAACCATATCCATTGGAAGACTGACCCATTTGTTTCAGTGGCATCAGAAAACGGGATGGAAATAAGGCTAAAATCCTGGCCACCTCCCCTCAGGCATCTGTAGATCGCCTCATCTCCCACTGGGCTTATCGCTGGCTCCTTGCAGAGCACAGGATGTGCCAGCCTGGTACAGAAGCACTGCAGCCCTTTCCAAATCACTCACAGCCCTATTAACACACAACAGAGGGAGCAAACGCCTTCATGGGATCTCAGTGCATTTTTAATGTAGCAATTTCACACTTAAGCTTCAACTCAGCTTCTCTCACTCCCCTCATTGCCTTACAAAGCAGCTCAGGGCATTGACTGTGGAGGATGTATTTGCCCTGATGCTGCGGGACGGGGGCTCAGGACAAGGGTGATCCCATTGCAGGGACACTTTCCCTGGGATTTCCAAAAGCTCCCAGGCGAAAGTTAAACAACATCAAGGCACATCCCTCCAGGGAATCCCAACGTGCCTCAGTTTCCCTTTGATGCTGCCAGGTCAGGAGCAACATCTGGGTATCCCACAGTCCTTTTACACCATCATCCCACACCCAGTTAGATGTTTTTGATGGCCTCATCATAAATAACTTTGTGATTACAACTGGACTTTAACTACCGAAACATAAAAGGCTTCAGGGCTTTACAGCAACACCAGCAATGGGTACTATGAATTGCAATGTCTTTACATTCCTAGCAGCTCCCTTCACACCAGCCCAATGCCTCCCCATGCCGCAGGGGAAGGTTCGTTGCTCCCTTCCAGCCTTTCACACCCCTCCCACAAGCTAAAAATACTGGGGAAAGAAAGGGTGGATCCACCATGAGTAATGGGGAATTCAGCATAGCCAGGGTCCAGTTCCCACACCGACCCAGCTGTACCCCTACTTCGCCTTCACCTGCTGCTGAATTCCACCCTAGATGCTTCAGATGATGGATTTCGGGGAGGGGAAAATCTAATTTTTATTAAAAAAATAAAAGAGGTAATAAATTCTAAGTCCAACTACAATCTACTTTAGCAGCAGCTAAACTCCCGCAGCTGCTACCTGCCAGGGAGAGCATCCCAGCACGGGTACCAGTGCTCGTCGGCACGCGCCGCATCCCCAGCCTCCATCCTAAATCACAACACAACAAACAGGCTGTTCATTAGGCGCTGTTTAATTAAGCAATATGGATCCTGCCTCGATATTTACAATCCCACTTGCTCTGATTTATTAGAGAGAGAGAGCCTCGCTTTTTAAAAGACGGCGACTGTAAAGTTTAATACCGCTTGACTTACTGCGAGTTTCATTTACGGCCCCGGGCTGAGGCGATGCAGCCGAGGCTCAGAGCCGGTGGGCTATTAAATCAGAGCTAACTGCGCGTGCAGGGAGATGACTAGCTTCGTTACAACCGGTTCAGCGGCTAATTATCCCAATCTGGATTCACACATTTAAGTCAATTCGTTGCTGCTTTTCCAGGGCCCTGGGGAAAAACGCGGAAGTTCAGAGGTTGGGATGAAGGCACTTGTTGCGATGAGAAGGAACGGGAGCTTCAATGGGCATGGTTGCAAAGCCCAGATGACACTGCTTGTACCAGGAAGGAAGAATAGAGCTTGCAAGAGGCCAGACTTCGAGCTGGGCAGTCCCCCACCATGTTATGCAGGAGGATGTTGTGTACAATGATGGCTCCAAGATCAAAAGTCACCCCAAAACCCTTGGGCACATGGGGAGGGCAAGTGGTGGGACGGCTTATGGGCCGTGAGATGGGGTAACTGGGGAGGAGGATAAGGCCAGCACGCACAAGGGACACACCCAGCCTGGCTTTGACCCCCACACTGGCCCAGCCCTTCTCCCTGCCCTAGCCCCATGTGTAGGGATGGGGAAATGATGCACAGATGGGGCAGGGGGGGCACAGCCCTCCACGAAAATTGTCATCTTGTACATAGGTGGAAAGCATTTCTCTCTTCGCAACGTATTTCCAGCCCCCAGGAGCCCACTCATGGATTTGACAAGGCCTCATTAAAGAATTATGAGAATGGCGCTTTAGTGACAAATAAAATATTATTGTGCAAATAAGATGATGGCAAAAAGCACAGGGCATCCCCCCACATCAGCTGTGGGACATTACTGTCCAGGACAGCCCCAGGACTTCCTGGGGAAATGAGCACAGAGCTACTTGCAGCATCCCTCAACTCAGCCCAGGGACTGGGCTACTGCTGTCCCACAGCACTCGTGGGCAAAGGGAAGGGAAAAGAGGACAGCCCCTGGGCTAGCAATAAACCAGCCCCTTGCTGCATTCCCACAGTCCTGCACAGCAGCCCCAGAACCTGCAGCAGGCAGGACAAGGGCTACACCCAGCAGCCTCAGGTAGAGAGGAGGAAGAGGAATAGCTCCAGAGCCAAGCATCCCGGCCAGCAGCATCCATGCAGCAAATTTGCAAGGCCTCAGCCCTCTCCCAGGAGCTGGTTAAGCCTTGGGCTGCATCAATTCCTCCCTACTTCCCACTCCTCCCCAAGCCTGCAGCACTCAGAAACAGGCTCAGAGCTCCACCCAGGGAGGAACAGGAGGCAACGCAGAGATAGGGACAGAAGCAAGCAGCATAGGGCTGCCAGCACGTCCTCTGCAGTCCTCTGCAGCCTCCAGTGTTATCCCCCATCCAGAAGTTGGGGGTCCCCACCAGAGATCCCCAAACCTCCCACCCAGGGCCAGGAGCCACAACGGTACAGGCAGAGGCACTTCGCTTCCAGGTTTTATTGACTGGGGGATCTGTACTCCTCCACAGGAAAGACAGCACTCCCAGTCCTACCAGTAAGACCGGAATGGTAAGGAGGTCAAGACCTTTAGTGTTGGTAGGAGCATGCTGTGGAGGCATAAGACATGGGGAAAGAGAGAGAGAACAGCACCACCCGTGTGATGACACCACAGGATTAGGACTTGGGGCATTCCAACAGGCAAAACCAGTCCACAAGTGGGGCCAAGCCATGACAAGGCTCAGGAGAAGCTGGAGATCAGAGGGCTCACAAGTGACACGAGTTGCCAGGCCTCAGCTTTCACCATTCCCAGCTGATTCCTCTTCCTGGCCTCACCAAGCACAGCCAAGGGCTGGCTCTACTGCTCCCCATCACGACATCTCCTCAGCCCTCTGCTTGTAGTGCACCTCGGGGAGGCTCCTCAGGCGCTCAGCTGCCTGTGGGACACAGCACAAAGGACAACCAGTGGTTGGTCCTGCGGATGGCCCTGTCACAGGCCCCCTTCGTTCCCACAGTCCTCCTTGATCTGAGCTTACCTGCTCCGGGGTGAGGTCCCGCTGCGCCTGTGCCAGCATCTCATAGCCCACCATGAACTTGCGGACAGTGGCAGAGCGGAGCAGAGGTGGGTAGTAGTGGGCATGGAGCTGCCAGTGCCTGCAGTCCTCCTCCAGGTAGGGACCTGTGGGGGCTCCTGCCGGGGGTACAGACACTCCGTGAGCCCCATGGAGGGGATAGAGATGTGGATAATAGGGTTGCAGGGGTCCCCACCATGCCTCTCACCATGCCAGCCCATGGAGTAAGGGAAGGAGACTTCAAAGAGGTTGTCGTACTTGATGAGCAGCCTCTTCATGATGGAGGCCAGGCCTGCAAAGGAATACTGGGGAGTCATGCCCCAAGTTGGCCAGCCCCCTCCAAAGGCAGACAGACCACCAGGCCTGGGAGGCACACCTTCAGCACCCCATCCCCAGGCGGACATTGGTGACAAGCAGGAGGGATGCACTTAGCAGTTACTCCCCTGTCCACTCATGCAGACCACCCAAGCAACGTGGTAGGAGTCTCCATTCCTCAATAGCCACTGCCCCAAAATTATGGATCATCATGTGTTTCATCACCCTGAAAAGGAAACTAGTCCCCCCACCAGTTCTGGCTGCACCTGGACGTCCAGCTCTTGTCCTAGCAAAAAGGGGATGCCAGTCCCCACAGAAGCTGAGCCCAGCACCCCGAGGGGACACAGACCCTCCACCACTAGCAAGGCTGCCACAGAGCTGCCTCCTAATGAAGGCCAATCCCAAAGGATATGGGGCAGGGGCTAAGAGCCACTCACTGTCCCTCTCGCCCTCATGGAGGTCCTGGAGGCGGCAGACATGGCGACGGGGCAGCAGCAGGGTCTGGTAGGGCCAGGTAGCCCAGTACGGCAACACCACCAGCCAGTCCGCGTTCTCCACCACCAGCCGCCCCCGGCGTGTCACGGTGCTCCATGGGGACACAGGCAGCCCTAATGCCCTGGGGATGGGTGCTCCCAGTGCTCCACCCCAGCACCCATCCCGCTCCCAGGGAAGGGATATGGATAACAGGCACGTTCTCACCTTCCGACGAGCCTCCTGCTCGGCGTACTCCAGCAGCATGGGCACGCCGTGCTGGCTCAGGTGCTGCCGCTGGGTCCGGTCCTCCAGGCATGCCTCATTCGGGAGGAAGCTGCTGGCCCATACCTAGAAGGCACATTGGGGCACAGGGCTGGGTTACCTGCACCCTGCACTTACAGGGGTGCCCCAGCCACGCTGCCCATCTGCAGGTCCGTGCTGCCACCAGGTGGAGAGTTGGACATGCGGCACCACAAGGGACAGTCCTAAGGAGGGGAGGTGACAGCACAGGTATGAGGGTATCCTCCTGGAAAAGCTCTGGGACCAGGGTGGGGGGATTCCCGTTCACATCTTGCCCTTTGGTTTATTGTAGGGTGGCCTGCAGGGACTCACAGTTAAGCCAGTCAGGTTGGGACAGCCTCACCTGGCAGTGGGGGTGCGGGTTGGAACACCCCATCATTGCTCCCTTGTTCTCGAAGATCTGTGGAGGAAGAGGTGCAGCCAGCAGGTCCCAGCCCCAGGGTCCGTGGTGTCCCGGCACACCAGGAGAGCATCCCAAAGGAGAGCAGAGCTTCACACCCATCAGGAAAGGCCCAAAGGGGCACAAGGGGCACAGGGATGGTCCCAACCTCAAGTGCTGCCAGAGCACTCAGTGCTGGCCCCCTGCCTCCACCCAAGCTTCCCAGGGCAGGGAGTAAAGGGCAGCCCCCATCAGCCCCAGACCTGCACCCAGGGGTAGGAGGCACCCAGCTCAGCCGCCAGCTCTGCCCACGCATCGATGACAGCCCGGATCTCTGCCAGGGACATAAGGGGCAGCGTCAGGTCCGACCAGGGGTGGAAGCACATCACCTTGCTGCGGAGGAAACACACATGCCTGGGACTGCGGGGTGTCTCTGGGAACCCCCACAGTCCTGTTGGGTGCAGTGGAACCAGGGACAGGGATGAGACCCCCAAAATGCAGGTGTGTTCAGAACAGGCAGCACAAGGAGGGGAAAAGACCCAGTACAGCTTCATCCCATGGATCCTGGCTGACATCATGGGCCAGACCCCTCAGAGCCATGCTGGTACTTACCACACCCCCCGGGCTGCTGCAGCTCGAAACAAGGGGTGATCACTGTCACCTGGGGAAGGACAGAGAATGGGGAGGAAAAGGGTGCTGAAGGAGCACCCATGC